TGTAAGAGAGAGAGCGCGCAAGAAAGAGCGAGAGAGAGCGTGTGAGATCGAGAGAGTACGAAATAACGAGCGAAGGGTAGAGAGAGTAAGCGAGAGAAAAAACAGAGTATGGAAGCGAGAGAGAGAGGGGGAAAACGGCAAAAAAACATGGCGAGTAAAGCCATACAATTACAGGTGGTCTCACGAGATGCGCAGCGATTGAACAGTGGACAAAATTACGAGCATAGGCCTACATCCCGGAGAGGCACCAACAGAGCGGAGACAAATTGTATATACATCCCACAAATTAGCGATATTCAGTTGACGAAGCTAAATCGATCCTCATTAACCCGCAGCAGCACGATCGGCACACGGTATATGTAATGAAGCAAATTCCATCGTAATTAGTACGGGAATTTGATCATAGCTACATTACATATATAGCATCATAGCATCATAGCATCACGCGAGAGCGCGCGCGCTCTTGCATGCACGATATACCGCCTCGCTCGCGCTCTCGCATCGCGCCTCCCTCTGACACCACGATGGCCGAGCGACCCAACGACACGCTCGTTTGCGCCGAAAATATGACGGCCCGTAACCGCGTGACGTCGCCCCGCTGCGAGGCGGGATCGTGGGTGGGGATCGGCGCAGATGCATCCCGCAGCGTGATTGAATACGTGCATAGCCGCGGACTGACGGCACGGTATCTGTGCCCACGACACGGATACCGATGGCGGCGCGAATACCCGGCGGACGGGTAGAATTCGGTCAGACGACAACCCAACAGGGACGGCTGTCGCGCTGGACGGCTTGTCAGCCGCTTGTAGAATGAGTGTTTTGCGACAAAGCAACGCCGAGGGACGTTGGCGTGCTGCGCGTAATTGTGGAAAATGTTTTTTCAGTGTCGCACACAATGTGAGGGCCGCGCTTAGCGGCGAGCGACAACGTGTCTCCCGTGTGGCTGTAGGCGTTGCAAACTCCGACGAAAATAACATGAAAATAATATGAAAAAAGACGTAATGCCACATGATGTTACTTTGGCATATATACATGCGTATATATATATATATATATATATATATATATATATATATATGCTATCTGTATTTGTGAAGTTCCTAGCTTGGTTTCGTGCTCTCAACGTACATGCTCATCCATATAACTCATGCATTGCACGCGCCAGCGATATAGTCAGGGATGTACAGGGTAGTTCGCACCCATCTATAAATTCGGTCGATCGGTCTGTCTGTCTGCCTATCTGTCTGTCCGTCCGTCTTTCTATCTGTGTATCTGGCTGTCGGTCCGTCTTTCTATCTTTGTATCGGTTTGTCTGTCCCGGGTCTCTTATTCTTATCACGCTCAAGCGGGGTCGATCGCGGACACGTTAAATCTTTTATTTAGAACATTCAAACGAATATGCGGACGATATAGCGAATATGCTTTCTATCTGTGTATCTGTCTGTCGGTTCGTCTTTCTATCTTTGTATCGGTCTGTCTGTCCCGGGTCTCTTATTCTTATCACGCTCAAGCGGGGTCGATCGCGGACACGTTAAATCTTTTATTTAGAACATTCAAGCAAATATGCGGACGATAAATCTCGATATTTATCTGACATGACCGTATTGTGTCATGGCGCTGTCCCGCGCCCTGCTGCCACCGGTCATATAGTGTTATCATTTATTTGCCGCCGGCCCAACATTAGTGCTGTCACTATCGCTCATATACATACAGGTATATACGCGCTCGCAATACACACGCGACTACCTGATGCATATAGAACACATGATGCTCGTACCGACAGTTGGAGCGATTCACACACAGAGAGGGAGAGACACAGCGAAAGACAGACAGAGAGAGAGAGAGAGAGAGAGAGAGAGAGAGAGAGAGAGAGGAGAGAGAGAGAGAGAGAGAGAGAGAGAGAGAGAGAGAGAGAGAGAGAGAGAGAGAGAGAGAG